TTACAGCTATAAAAATCTAGCTTTGCTAAAACAAGTATAAGTATTGAAATGCAAAGAAAAAAAAATTATATATATATATATATATATATATATATATATATATATATATATATATATATATATATATATATATATATATACACATTTTTACAATATTACAATTATCTTATTACCTAACTACAGTATTGCAAAATACAAAAGTACTGAAGTGATGCAGTATACCTTTTCCCCTTTTCCAATGATACACATTTGTACTTTTTATGTACTACTATGTTAGTGTAAGTTTACACACATTAGGGCTGGACGATTAATCGAAATTGACATTCAGAACCTATAACAGAACCTATAATAAATAAAAAATTTTAAGGTAAATTTTTTCAATTACCTTTTCCTACCACATTTGGAGTCGCGTTACTCCACTCTGTTAGGGCTGATTTATACTTGCACCTGTAAAATGTAACTACATGTCACATGTTTGACTACACTGACAATGACTAAAAGGTGCGCCAGAGATGCCTTGAGGCGGCATATTTTCTATTGCAATGAAATTATTATTTACATACAAATATTTGTTTACAGTTGATTCAAGAAATTCACTGTTTAAATTATTATACAGGATAACAAGAGTTATTTTATATAGAAGAGATACTGCTTATTTTCTACTTTTAAATACATTGAAAATAATTCATTTTGTTAGTTTTTTGTACTTTTTCATAAGAAAAATGCAATGTGTGTTTTAATTCCAGCTGATGTTCAATAAATAATCAGAGATAGTAGATGTGTGTTTCCTTCAATTATTTTAAAATCAAGTAATGCACCCTTCATTCAGACATCTCTCACTAGTAATATGTAAGCATATTTACTGTACAAAACCGTTCAGTAGAAAATAAAATAAATGATTAAAATAAGCATTCATAATTCATAATCGAGTTAAAATGTTCAATTAATCGAGATTTAGATTTTAGGTCATATCACTCAGCCCAACACACTACTATTTCCATAGTAGGAAAAACAAATACTGTAAAAGTCAATGGTTACAGATTTCCAGCTTTCTTCAAAATATCTTCTTTTGTCTTCAACAGAAGAATGAATGACTAGAAAATGTGTAAATGATTTAAGTTTTGTGTGAACTATTCCTTTGAAGGTACAATATTGGGTATAAATATATATATATCTTAGGGTACAAATGTAAATACAGACATGCAAAAGTAACTAGATGTCCAAAAACGGTCACCAGGGCAGTACCTTTACACTTTTGTACATAAAGGATCCATACTGATACCTAAAGGATCCAGTAAGAGCTTTTGTAACTTTATTTCTGAGAGTGTTTATTATTCACAGCGATTATCCACCACGTTTTATGTGCTAATTTTACTAAATTTAATAATTTCCTTGATATTTCAATCTAAACTTCTCTGTTCTCTGGTCTATTTGTCGAGAAGAAAAGCATTCTGACAGAAAAAATCACAGAACTGCTGAGAATGACCAATGGGATCTGTTACCAACAAAGAGACATTCGAAAGAACAAGTGCAAGAAAAGTCCTAGAACGGTGTGGCTCCTAAATCACAACACTCCAGACCCCACAATCTTGACGACTGACTGTCACCCCAGACATTTTGCCTGTTTGTTTGGTTGCTGCCATATTGTTTTCTTTGCCTTTTTTCTCTTGGCATGCAACTATGTCAGGCTGTTGTGCCAGAGGGGAACAAATCATCACTCTTCTGAAGAGACTGAGCCAACAAGCCCTGATCAATCACACAGATAGAGCTGCCTGAGTCGAGCTAGAGGAGGCATAGCTGACGTGCGCCACTGCTGTTTCAGGCTGAGAGATTGAGGCTGTCAGCACTTTCTTAATGCAAATCCCCCCGGCCTTTGCTCTCTGACAGCCAGATCTAGAAGACTCATGCTGGGAGGAACCGGGGAAATTCCGAACACAGGGGGCGAATCCTGATTGCCTGACAAAACAGGCAACACTGCTTCACTCTGTCAAGACAATGAGAGCAGCTTATGGAGCACACCCAATCAACAGCCCCAGCAAAAAAAAAAAAAAAAAAAACGTGCCCCGTTTTCTGTCTGAGAGTCAATTCAGGCCAATTCGATAGTGATAGTGTTTTTTTCCATCTAATTGCTTATGAAAAAGATTGACGCAGACTTTGGTTTTGTAAATTTTGAACCAGATAAGAGACATTGTGGTTAAATGGATTTTAAATTGAAGCTGGTATACTAATATATTATAACATAATACACATGTATGTGCCATATATAAATGCATAATTCATTTATTTATTCATTTACTCATGTATTCATTTATTCATGTGCTTATTCATTTGCATAAAATGTTGAAACAGATACACCATTTACAAGACCGCTGGTCAGTATGTGTGTCTTTGTATGTATGTGTGTTTTGGATGTTTTTCACACATGAACACAGTCTTTGTACCCTGTAATTGATCTTATCAACTTATCATTTTGAACAACTAAGCTTCATGGATCATTGATGTGTTTAAATTGCATGCTTCTAGAAATCATTTTAAAAATACATTAATAAACTAGTTCTAGTTTTTTGTTTGTTTGTTTGTTTGTTTGTTTGTTTGTTTGTTTGTTTGTTTGTTTGTTTGTTTGTTTGTTTGTTTGTTTGTTTTTTGCACAGCCTCAATTAAACCACTGCAATTCACTGGACTCTTAGTCAATAATTATCAAAAAAGAAATTTTGAACGTCAACATTTCAAGTAATTAAAAAAACGGCATTTGTAAACATTGAATTTAATATTAGATGAGGATATGTTACATTTGAATTTTCAAAAAACATACACACTTTTATGGACATCAAACTAAATGTGTCACTTAACTGTTTGGATGAACAGTTCTTATACAGTATTTCTAATGCAAATGACTTCATTGTGATTTTGTCATTATGAGATTGCTAAATATTAAATGCTTATGCGTTCTTCTTTTCATGCACTTCTAACCAAATAAATGCTGCATTAGTAAGCATAAAAAATGCTGTTTCAAAAATATTTAAGATGTAAGTGTGTCTAATACCCAGAAAAATGAAAAACTAAAGCTTAAAGAATTCAAAACATTGTATGACAACAGTCCACGGATTATACTGTTATTCCATGAGCTCAGGTTTTCACTAGGAGCTTAGGAAAAATATTGATGAATATTGAAGCTAATATATAGTGTTTAAATATGTAATTGAATTTAGCTCTTTTGCCCGACTAATATATTATTTCTGATGACTAAATTAAGATCACATTTTCAGTTACTGTAAACCTTTCTTAGACAGACTACTTTTAATAGACATGACCATTTTTTTCTTCAGAAACACAAAACTAATAGAAAAAATTTTTTAATTAGCTATTTATCAAAATGTTATTAAACTATATAAATTATAAAACTTTAAACAGTAACTTTAAGCCTCCTGGTACTATTTAAACAGCAGAAAAGACCTAAACTATATTTAACCAAAAATATATTCTAGCGGTCAAAAGTTAGGGGTCAGCTTTGTTTACTTTTTTCCTGTTTTTTTAAGAAGATTATTGCGAAATTTAATAAATGTTTAAAAAATGTTTAAAAATCTTATCCATAAAAATCTTTCTTATTGTAGTTTTAAATAAAATCATTACTGCTGTATTGCTTTTATTGCTATTACAATTAATAATAATAATAATAATAATAATAATAATAATAATTCATTCATTCATTCATTTTTTCATTCATTCATTCATTCATTAATATTAGAGTGATTTCTGAAGGATCATGAGATTTTGAAAACTAGAGTAATGAAGCTGAAAATTCATCTTTAAAATCACCAGAATAAATTATTAAATAAATTATCAACTACTTTTGAACAGTTATTTTATAGTGCAATAATTTTTCACAATTTTACAATTTGTACTATATTTTGATGAAATAAATGCAGCCTTAGTGAGAAGGATAAGATTATTATTTTTTTAAACCAAACTGACCCCAAACTTTTGACCAGTAGTGTATATTAATACTAGCTGACTTTTCCTGAAAAAAAAAAATAATAATCATGTTCTATTTTTATATTTTCACATATTTTCAAAGGCCGAACACATTTAGGGTAGAACATTTTTTTTTTTTTTTTTTGTCAATTTTGACCTGTCAGTTTTAAAGTCATTTTTACACCACAAATATAACTGGTACACACAAGTATACAAAATTCTAGGACAACACAAGGGTAATTTGCCTCCAAATACATTGAGGGATGTCTTTACCAAAGTAAAACCACAATGCACAGGCATAGTTGGGATTATCAGCATGTTTATATTAACCAATTATGACCCTGGACCACAAAACCAGTCTTATATATATGGCTATCACAAGTATCTGTTTTTTAATGCCAAAAATTATTAGAATAATAGGCAATGATCGTGTTCCGTTAAGAAATTTTGCATATGTAAAATATAAGCATTTTAAAACATCATTTTTGATTAGTAATGTGCATTGCACTTCATTTAGACAGCTTCAAAAGCATCTCAATATTTATTTTTTAATGCTTAGATTACAGATTTCAAAAATTTCTTTTTCAGCCAAATACTGTCTTATCTTAACAAACCACACATCAATTCAAAGCTTATTTGTTCAGCTATTCAATTGTTTTATTTAACAGATGATGCTCTGATCTCAATTTATTAAAATGGACACTCATGACTAGTTTTGTGGTCGATGGTGAAAATTGAATAAGTTGGATGACCAGGGTATACATTTTTCAGTTTTTGTTGACTTTCACCTTTAAAAACACATCAAAAACATCTTAAAAACAAGAGAAAATGGTCAACTTGTGTAGTCCCTTCATTGTAAGCCATAACATTTTAAAAACATCCCCCATAACTCTTCCTTCATCTTCATAAAGCAAACAAAACACATGATATAGACGGTTCACGCAACGTCAAGCCACATTCACTCACTCCTGACCTGTTATTTCAAAATCCCAGGAGAGATGATGAGTTACAAGAATAACAGCGCTTACCTGCAGAGGCCAGGCTGCTGAGGGTCAATAGCAGGATGGCGGAGGGGTGTATGTGTGCCGTTAACCACATGGCTAGAAGAAAACACTTTCCTGAAGCCAGACGTGGAAGAAACTGAAGCAGCAGGGTGTCTTCTTGAATGCTCCCCACACACTCTGAAGAATGACAGAGAGAAATATGTCAGTCAGTCACCAAGCAGCAGGGCATTAGGGTCTTAATGTCACATCCTGCGGGCTTATGGTAAGAGACAGCAGGGTTTTACTTGAGGTGGCGGCTTGTTAACCTTAACCTACTAATTAAGTCTAACGTAAATGGTGGGAATGGGGAGAATGAGGAGTTTTTCAATTATAAAGCTATTATTAAGATTTTAAGGTGCCCCTGTTAATTTTTTTTTCAGATTGTACCTTTCATTTAGTGTGTATTTGAGCATCTGTTTGTAAAAAAATATTAAAGATGAAAAGATGAAAGATGAAAAATCTCTTTAAAGAAGGAAACAATTCTGCCTCTATCTCCAGTCTTACTTTTGTGGCACTTTATGATAATATTTTTTTAAAATACAAAGCTCTTATTAACATTTTAAGATGTCCCTATTCTGTTTTTTTCCCAGATTGTACCTTTCATTTAGTGTATTTTAAACATTTTTGTAGAGGTAACTTATCTAGATGAAAAATCTCATTAAAAAAAAGAAACAATTCCAACTGAAACAAATCCTCATTAACTCGACTTACTTTTATGGTGCTTTATGTTACTTTTAGGAATATATAAGTCTAATTTTAATAGTGAGGATGGGGATAATAAGGAGTTTTTAAAGTATAATGGTATAAACATTTTAAGGTGCCCGAGTTTTTTTTTTTTTCAGATTATCCTTAAGTTAAGTTTGTCTTAAGTGTCTGTTTGTGAAGGTAAACGTCTGCAAAGTTTCAAATGTGATAAATATTCTAAAAGAAAGTAAAATAAAATATGCCTAAAACGAATCCTTAGAAACTCTAGACAAAGCTTTTTGGAACTTTTATATTTCTTTTGAAAATATACAATATGTCATAAATCTGATGGGAATGAATAGAAAAAGCAGTATTTAAATTAATAATCTATAGACCCATGTCACAAGATGGTGCTTATCTGCATCTTAAATCCTCAAAAGTGTTTTTTTTTTTTAATATTTGGATTTTTGTATGAAGTGCATTTATTATTCACTGCTCTCTAATTTAACACAACTACAATGACTTCCACCACTGAGAAACCCAGAAATATAAAAAGTATCTAATAGTTTTAGGGTACACAATTAAATTTTTCATCTCATTTTATCTTTTATTCATCATTTATTGTAGCTGATTGTGAAAGTAAAAGTTCTGCAAAGTTTCAAAGATGCTAAATCTCTTAAAAGACAGAACCAATTATGCCTGAAACAAATCCTTAGTAACTCCATGATTATGTTTTGCAGTTGCAAGTTTAATTTATGCCTAATATAATCAGTTTTAACTATATACATCAAATTAACGTCTCTACATTAAGTGAAGATCACAGTTTTACAGTGATGTTATTTCAGCGTATAATTAGTTTTTTTTGTTAGTTTTTTTTTAACTAAAAGCTTCTGTCCCCATTCATTTCAATGGAATGTTAACTGCAACAGTGGTGTTCTGAAAGTAAATCCTCACCATCGTGGCACTAATTTGGTCACACTTTATTTTGATGGTCCGTTTGTTGAATTTGAGCTACATTGCATCTACATACCAAAAAATTCTTATTACATTATAAGTAGACTGTTAGGTTAGGGTTGTGGTTAGGGTTAATTTAAGTTGACATGTACTTGCAAACATTATTAGTCAGTTAAATGTCTGTTGAAGGAGCAGTATCAACAGATAATAAGCAGAAGGTCTACTAATACTTAAAAGGACAATCAAAATAAACTGTTTCCACAATTTTTTACAACTGTTAACAGTGAAGCTAAATAGAATTATTTCCAATAAATAAATACATATTTCAAAAAGAAATAAAAACAACAACACACTGAACCTGTACAGAACAATTCACTAAGAAAGTCTCAGCCAGCATAGCAATCTTTAGCTCTGACCAAACTTAAAATATACTGTGTTTTATGGATTCAACCAATAATTTTAAATGCACAACCACCATTTTTTATTATTATTTAATCACACAGCTTCTTGGGATTAAATTCAGCTTTTTCCATTATTAAATACTTCAACAGATTTTTTTTTTCATAAATATGTTTCCTTTAAATCATAGAGTGATTTAAACAACCCAATCAATGAAATGCTCTAGTTCAAATAACAGACAGATTAGACACCTGGAGTTCGCTGTTAAGAGCATTAACAGACGACAGGTAATTAACACGACCACAACTGAACTCCAGAGATGAAGCAGCCAACCGGAGTTCACTAGAGGGTGGGTTAAAGCCAACACATGCCACACCAGCAGAGCTTGAATACAACATGCATTATCCACATGAAGTTTGACTCACTCCACTACCTGACAGAACGCCGCAATAATAAACATACCATCTGCATAATGAAAGATATTGAGCCATCAAATAAAAACCTTTCAAACAAATCTACACAGCGGTATTTAAACATTTACGTCTGCTCAAAGCCTCTGAAATGTCACGCCAGACTGGATTCAGTTAGTTTAATTCCAATTTGACAAAAAGAGCTTTTGGAAAAGTGAAAATGAAAAGTTTTTATGGCCATCATCTCAAATCTGAGATATAGACTCAGGGCTTTTGCGATTATTAATGCTGACTGTAGGTTCAAATCGAATCATTTGGAAGCCAAACATCAGCAAATACAAATCTCAAAGAATTATTAAAGGCAATTTCTATTGGATTCATTCAGTTTATTATTAGGGTAAAATCTTAATTCAGGTTACAAATTACATACTTAGTTAGTATAGTAATAAAAGAAAATGGTGTATGTTATTACTGTATGTAATAGGGCTGCACAATATATTATTTGAGGATTGATATCACAATGTGTGTATCCGCAATAGTCACGATGCAGGATTAGATTATTTAAAAAAAAATGTAAAGATAAAGATAAATATATATATATATATATATATATATATATATATATATATATATATATATATATATATATATATATATATTTTTTTTTTTTTTTTTTTTTTTTTTTTTTTAAATTTGCACAATGATGACCACGTCATATCATATAATGTTTGCTGTTTCAATTTCTGTTGCTGAATACTATTAGGCTCTCCAGAAAACCATAAAGCGCTGTTTGTTTCACTTTTATCTTTGCTCTGTTTTATTTACATATGCTTGTAATTTATTATAATTTATGCAAACTCACTGCACAGAAAAGACTTTGATTATTTAAATTTATCTAAATGAATAAAACCTTTATTCATCTGGTTACATCCAGTGTACATGTAAGTTAATATTAGGACTATTTGTGTATTTACAATAATTTTACCTTAAAGAGTGATCGGTGTTAAAATAAATGTTAGAAAACCATAAAAGGATTCATATTTCATTTGAAGTTAAAAGAATGGTATATTAATTAATAATATTATTTTAAAAAATGTGCTTGTTTGTTTGTTTGTTTGGGCTGGTTAGAAATAATAATAAATTACACATATATTTCTCAGCACTTAAGTATAAATGAGCTTCCCTTAGTAGTAACCATAGTAACTCATTGCTTGTTGCCATAGCCTTCATTCATCTGTGTTATCTTGAGGACACCAATGTGTACTTCAAAGGGAGCTGGGGATCAACCAATGAGTAGCTAGATTGCTAGCTAACATGTTTATATGAGCAATAAGATATTGCCATAGATATTACCATACTCTCCCATACATATGCTTTCTCTTTTGGCTGCTAATGATCAATTTCTATAGTAACTTTTTGGGCCAAAATAATATGACCAAAAAATAATCAACTAGCAGCAAAACAAGGAATATATCCCTCCCCCACCCACCCAAAATCAATGTAAAGTTAAAGAAAGATCTGATAAATATAAGTAAGTTTAATAAAGACTTCCATTTACTGAGGGTTTATGTGCATAATCACTTAGTGCCGCATCTGAACACATTTTTGCAAGTATATTGCCATTACTTCATGACCTTAAGCTAAAAAAACGTTACATGTCATTGTTCTGTTCGATTGTTGAGCTCAAAAACAGAACAGCACTTGCTCTACTTTGCACTATTAAAACCATGAATAAAAATGAATAAATTAATTAAATAATTAAGGGGTATTCTGTGCCTACTGGTAGGCTCAGAAGGCTGTTATCATCCATTCACATGGTTAATCAGCTATAGATTACAAACGGCTGCGGCCGGAAGTTACCATGATTTATTCAATTTCCCATTAATTGTATTTTACTAACGTCTACCCCTGCCCCAAACCGAAACCTAACAGTCACAGAAATGTAAAAAGAGATCTGAATCTGGAGTCTTCTCTATAAGTGTAGCTGATTAACCATATGGATGGAAAGCTCCTACCATGTGGGGTAGAAGGCCCCTACTGGCCCATATCTATTAGCTGATAACCATTGATAACACCCATATAATCAAGTGTTAACATTAGAAGCGAGTGTCTCATGCTACATAAGCACCAACCCAGGCTCATTCTGAAAACGTACCTATATTTCCGCTAGTTAGGTGTGACGACAGGCAAAGTGGCTTCCAGGTCCAAGAGCTCTATGTATGGGGTGACTCTTCAAATGGTAATAATAAACGTTTACAAAGTGATGTAATACTTTCAAAAATCACGCTCGCAATATACAGTAAATGTCCATGCCTTATATTCAATGGCCAGAAAGTGATTCATTTTTATATAAGTTGTTAAAAATTTGGTACTTGTAAAGCAGCAAGGCCAGAGAATGATGTGTACACTATGATTTTATATAAAATTAACTTTAAAGTGGTCATAAATAAACATTTTCTCAATTCAAACGAGTAGCGGCTTGCACCAGGAAACAGTATTCCTTACGTCACCAATACGTCATGACTTAACAAGCAGATAAATTTCTGGAGAGTGCCAAATATGTCCCAGAAGCTACATTTTTTGCAGTTTCTGTTTTCATGAATCCACCAATTCAATTCAATTCAGCTTTATT